AATAAAAGAATTATGGGAAAGATCCAGCAGAGACCTGAAAAGGAGGGGTAATGGTGGGCATAGGTGAATGGTGATGATGGTAGAAACCACCACGTATAGAAATGACTGTATGTGTTTCACACAAACCAAAGTGTAAAGAGAAGAAAAGTGTGACACACAATGTATATGAATTTTGTAAGCAAACCCATATAAAAATGGAAAAAAAAATTATGAGATCAAATTGACATTATCAATTACATAGACAGAAATTTCAAGCAACAAGGAGTTTATATTATGGGAGAGGAGTTAACTCAGAAGGAGCTACTTGAAGAAAGTAACCAACTGTCACTGAATTGCACATGTAGAAACTGCTTCACTGGTGTTTGTTTGGCTGTCTACATGATCAACAATAAGTAAAATTCCAAACAATAAAGAAAGAAAAATACTCCCTGATTCAAGGAACCAACCAAGTTGATGGGTTATTCCACTGGGATGCTATCATTACAGAAAAAGTTTCCCTCTATACGTTTGAAAACAGAACCAACCTTCTTAAGGTGTTGGCTTACCAGACTGGGCAAAGAACGTATCTGCCACTTCAGCCTCCCCAATTATAGAAAGTCTGAGGAAAACATATTCCAGACCACAGAGTTAAGTAGTCAAGCTTTCAGAGTGTACAGACAAAGTCTGTGTTAACTCCCTGTTCTACCACTCGAGCTGGATAACTCTGGGCAAATCATTGGGTGTTTTTAAGCCTCAGTTTCCTCACTGACACAATGGGAATAACAATGACACAGATGTTCAGAGGGTTCTTGTGAGGATTAGACAGGATAATCACATAAAACTGTGAACACAGTACCTGGCACAAAGTAAGCACTCAGTGAATGAGTAAGTCTTCTTTGAAATAAGATGATGGGGGGTGGGGAGAAGGACTAAGAGGACATACATGTGATTCCTGTATCGGATCTCAAAATTCAAGAAAATGGAAAAAACCAGAGAGAACTCAGTCATCTTTAACTCAGGAGGCAAAGTCTAAAGGTGATCGCGTCCTTGAGAGGTATAGTTCTGACCTGTCCAGGTGCTTCCCGGACACCTGTCTGCTCACACTTCATAACGTGCGGGCCTTGGCGCAATCTCAGCGAGTCATTACAGCAGCCCTGTCACGGATCCGATGGTCCCATGTTCCAGGAGAGCAAAGTGAAGCTCAACGGTGACCCAAAGTCACCAGTAAGTCAAGCAGTGGAGCCGGGTTAGCCGCGAGGCCTCCGCTTCCTCCTGTGCCTGCACCCCACGCCGGTGAAACCTCATTAACCTGGGTGATCGCTGCCTCAGACTCACCTGTGTCGCTGAGCGCATTCATCCTATCATCGGTGGCTCTTCCAAAAAACCAGAAGATCTGAGTTTTCTATTTGAATGGAAAGTCCTCCTGGCTCCTTTGTCCAGGGTGCATGCAGATTAAGGGCCAAAAGGGATCAATACCTCCCCATTTCGGGAAAAACAAAAACAAAACAACTGAGGACAGCTAATAATGAGAAAGAAAATAAACAGGACAATTGAAACAATAAAAAAGAAAAGTGTTTTGCATCTGAGGAAGAGCTTATTTCTCAGTGTAGAACTGTTACAGTTTTACTGGAAATCACATATACTCACCAAGATTCCTGCCTGCAGTGTCTGCTCCTTCAGAAAGATGAGGTCCATCCCTCCGTCCACGTGTTTCCGTCGCCCTCTCCTCCGCCTCGTGGCCGCATCGTCTCTTCTTAGGCTTCCATTGACAATCTGTCCAGTCACTGGGTGGATCAGGCCAGCTTGTAGAATCCCAGACAAATCCATGCCAAGGGCTCCTTGAAGTGAACCGATTGTCCCAATTTTAGGGGTACTGGCGCTTACTGGGAAAGGGGATGTGGCTCCTGGGGACCCCTCAGATGTGCAAGATAGGTCGATAGCTGACTCGCCATGCCAGCCATTGAGGACGATGGGAGGGTGCCCATGGGTGGCAGAGAACTGGTCGAGGCTCCGCGCCTTTGCGTCCCTCTCCACGTCAAACTCGTAGGGATGCCTGTGCTTTTGCTCGTCTTTTGTGAAGACTGGAGTCAAGAAGCTCTCCTGTGAACACAGATATGTGGCAACAGATGTTTCAAGGTCACGTCTGTGGATGAATGCCAGCTCTTTCTTTCTGTGGACTGCATTCTCCTGGGGCTAGTATTATTTCCAATCATCATTTTAGAACAACTTGTAACTCAGTTTCTCACATTCTAGTACAAATCACTGGGATAAGCTATAAAAATGCAGTTTCTACTTTAGCAGGTCTGAGATGGAAGCTGAAATTCTGCATTTCTAACAGGTGTCCCGATGCTGCCTATAGCTGCTAGTCCATGGACTAAAAGATGCCGAGTTATAACTCAGTGATTCGCTAGCTCATCAATATAGTGGAATCACCGAGGGATATGTAGGCCACCCCCAAGATCAATGGAATCAGAATCTGTGGCGGTGGAGGCTGGGCACTAGGAGCGTTTAGAGAACCCCAGCTGAGTGTAATGTGCAGTTAAGAATGAGATGCAGGGACAGGGGTAGAGAAAAAAGTTCAACAATGAATGAATGGAAATCCAAAATCTCTGTAAATGTTCATTAAGATTAATAAAATTTTAGGTTCGAATCCACCAGATGCTCTGCTGGGGAAGGAGGGACAATCTCCTCCTGTACCAGTCAGATCTGATTTGACGGTACAC